TTTTGGCCATCCTAATGGATATGTAGTGTATATTGTTGCTTTAATTGCATCTTCCTGGTGACACATGATGGGGAGCATCTTTTCATATGTTTATTTTCCATCTGTATATTTATTTTTGGTGTGGTGTCCATTAAGGTCTTTGGCCAGTTTTTCAATTGGGTTGCTTGTTTTGTTGAGTTTTAAGAGTTTTTGTATATATCAGATAACAGGCTTTTCTCAGATGTCTTTTGCAAATATTTTCTTTGTCTGTGGCTTGTCTTCTCATTCTCTTGACATTGTCTTTAGCAGATCAGAAGTCCAGCTTCTCAGTTACTTCTTTCATGGCTTTATGCCTTTGGTGTTATTCTAAAAAGTCATTGCCATACCCAAGGTCATATAGTTTTTTTCCCTATGTTGTACTCCAGGAGTGTTATAGTTTTGCATTTTACACTTAGGTCTGTGATCTATTTTGAGTTAATTTTTGAAGGATATAAGGTTTGTGTGTAGATGCATTTTTTTCAATGCGTGGGTGCTCAGTTGTTTTCAGCACCATTTATTAAAGAAACTGTCTTTGCTCCATTGTGTTGCCTTTACTCTTGTCAAAGATCAGTTGACTGTATTCATATAGGTCTGTTTGGAGCGACTCTACTTGTTCCATTGATTGATTTATCTACTCTTTTACCAGTACCACACTGTCTTGATTACTGTAGTTTTACAGTAAATCTTGAAGTCAGGTAGTAGCATTAGTCCTCCAGCTTTGTTCTTTTCAAGTTTATGTGGCTTTTCTGGGCTTTTTGCCTCTCTATATAGACCTCAGAATCAGTTTGTCAATATTCATACAATAATGTGCTGGGAATTTGATTGGAATTGCATTGGTTCTATAGGTCAAGATGGGAAAAATGGACAATTCAAAATATTAAGTCTTCTATTCATGAACATGGAATATCTCTATTAGTTATTTTGATTTTGTTCATAGGAGTTTTGTATTTTTTCTCATATATATCTTTTACCTATTTTATTAGGCTTTTACCTAACCATGTTTTGGTGCTAATGTAATGGTATTGTGTTTTTAATTTTAAATTGCACTTGTACATTGCTGGTATATAGGAAAGTAATAGACTTTTGTATTCTGCAACCTTGCTATAGTTGATTAGGTCTAGGAGTTTTTTGGTTGATTTTAAAAAACTTTCTACATTGATGATTATGTCATCTGCAAACAAAGATAGTTTGCTGCTGTGTCTCTGTGCCACACCATGTCTCCTCACCTGTCTGCCCCTCCTACCTGTGGATGATTGTGGCTTCTTTAAATCCTTGGTTGTCTGACTTCCATATAGTTCAATTTTCTAGCAGTTTTGGCTGTTACTTGTTTTGAGATTTAGTTGTAATTCTTTCTGTGGTTGCACGAGGAGCTGAAGTTTGTCTACCCACACCTCCACCTTGACTGGAAGTGCAGATTACTAACTTTTTAATGTTCAAAGATACGGCTTTACAGTCAGTAACCACTGGTATAGAAAATTTAGGCAGCATATTTTGGGAGAAAAATTTCCTTAGTAATTTCAGCTCCTACCTTAGGAGTTTAGTACACATGGGTTTAAGAAATACAATTTTTAACGGAAGTTACCCCTTGGTTCCTAACTTTCAAGACCATAGCCCTCTGTTTTGAATTGTTTCCAGAAGCAAAGGCGCAAAAGAAGAGTAGAAAGTGCTGATAAAACTAGATTACTTCAAAGAAAGCCTTAAATACAGAATTTGTAATTATCATTTGCTAGGTTTGTTAACCTATTCTAATAATTATTGAAATTCTGCATGGGATATAATCACTTGAAGAAGTAAAAGCAAACAGGTTGATTAATAATCTTGACAAAGAGATATAAATAGTTAAATATTCTTGAGACAAGGAGATAAAATCTCAAACTAAGTTGTGCAGAGGGAAAAGAGGATAGGCACCATTCTGGTTTTTAAAAACAAGAGAACCATACAAATGTCTTGGGGAATGGGTAGTGATTCAGGATTTCAGCTTTTTCATCAAATTTTTCTTGTTCTGCATAATGTAAGGTTTTTTTGAAAAAACTCGTAGCACTTTTGGAGGCAAAAGATTGCCCACATATTGCTGTTTTGATTGCTCTGTTGCCAGATGAAGTGAACAACAATGGCTAAGTTTTCTTAATTTTTTTTTTTTGTATCACTAGTTTTTGTATCTGTAATTTGTAAATATATATTGTAAATATGTAGAAAAAGTTATGGCCACATAAACGCTAAACTTAACAGTAGTAATCCTACCTGTGGGAGGTGAGGTATGGTACAGAATGAAGTAGAGCTTTCAGTTTTTTCTCTATGTACTTCTATATTTGAGCTTAAAAAAAGGAGTTTGTTCTTTCAGCAGATAAAATTGGAAAGGGAAAAAATATAGGAAAATAAATTATTCTTTTAAAAGAATTACATATTTATTTATTTTTTTATAGAGAAGGGAAGGGAGGGAGAAAGAGAGGGCATTTCATCCATGCCAGAGAGAATTGATTGGTTGCCTCTCCTGTGTGCTTTGACCAGAAAACTAGAACCCGCAAACTAGAAATGTGCCCTGAACGGGAATTGAACTGGCGACCTTTCGCTTTGCAGGATGACAACCAATAAACTTAGCCACACTGGTCAGGGCAAAAGATAAGTTATTAAAAAATTGTTTTAGTTTATTGTTTATACTATTATAGAAGTCCTTATCCCTCCCTCCTTTGCCCACCTCCCCCCGCCCTTGCCTCCCCTTTCCTCTGGCCGTCACCACTTTAATACTGTTGAAATCCATATGATTTAAGGCAGATTTTTAAAAAGCCCCTGCCCTAGGAGTTCAGTACACACAGACGTCTCCAGAGATGGGGAACTGATGGTGGAAACAAATAATGTGTTATGTTTTATATATAATATACTTCAGAAATATTAAAGTTTCTCTATTACCTTGTTGACTGAATTATCGATGGGGGTGACTGTCCAGATTCTTGAAATACAGAATATTATTTGTAGCGCAGTAGTGTTGAGTATTTCAGAATGCTTCTTGCTTATAAATATCTGCAATCAGGTTAGTTATAAAGTATGCTTATTTTTAACTTCTGTAGTTGGATTTAATTTCCTTTAACCACAAAGATTAGGGGAAATGTACCTCTCTCAATCTTCCCGATCCCAAAGTGAGTTTCTTGGTGTTTGTTGATCTTTATAATGACAACTGTGATTTCTGTTCTCCTCTTAGGGATTTTTTTCCCCTCTATATTTTGATGGCATTATTAAGATAAATGATGCAAAGGTGAGTGTTAGTATTTTATTAATAACCAACTAATTATGATAAAATTGCTAACTTATTAATAAGGATTAAAAGTTTTTATCTTCCTGTTTCATTCTTCTCATTCGGCATATTCCATAAGTCAAGTACATACTTGGGAAAAATCAGCTTTTCCCTTATCATTAGAAATTTTCTTTTTCTCTCTCTCTTACATTTTTTTATGTATAGTTTATTGAGTACTTATTAACTATCAGGTGCTGGGGATAGCGAACAAGATAGACAAAATTCCTGCTATCATGAAGTTTACATCCTAGTGGAGGTTTCAGAAAATCAACACATAAAGACTTTCAGGTAATGCCAAGAAAGGAGTTAGGTGTGGCCCTAACCTAGATGGAGATGGGCAAGATTACAACTGGATGACTATGTACCAAAACATGTAAATATTTAGAAGTCATGAATCAGCCCTGGCTGGTATGGCTCAGGTGGTTGGAGTGTCATTCTTTAAACTGAAAGGTCACGGGGTCGATTACCGGTCAGGGTGTGTGCCTGGGCTGATGGTTCCGTCTCTGGTTGGGGTATGTCCCAGAGGCAACTGATCGATGTTTCTCTCTCACATTCATGTTTCTCTCCCCCATTCTCTCTCCTTTTCTTCCCCTCTAAATTCAATAAGCATGTTCTCAGGTGAGGATCAAAAAAAAGTTAGGAATCAAGGTACATTTTTGGCACAGTCTTAGTTTCCATTCTGCATCTTGAGTTCCCTGTTGCCTGCATTCTCAAGAACCAAAGACTAAAGGAGTTGCTCTCTTCTCCAGCCAGCCTTTCTATTTGCTAGTCTGATTAAATAGCATGAATCTGTTGGGGCAGGACAGGGATGATTGGATGGTACCTGGACCTACCTAAAACAGTATGGGAACTTGATCCTGTCAAATCCCCAGGAATCTGTTATAGAGAAGTTAACCTCTCCAGCTCCTCACTTTTCCCCACTCAAGACTTCTAAGCTCTTCCCCATATCGAACGACGCAAGAAGAGAGGATGCAGACATATGGGAAACCTGTGTAGGCAATCACTTTGGTGGATTTGAGTTGGCCAATTTTGACTGATTAAAGTTTTTGTAAATAACCACTCTTTCTAGGACTTCTTGGGCAGAAGCTGTGGTAATTTTCTCCTTTCTCTGCACAATGGTAACAGTCAGTTTTTCATCCTCTGGCTTGGGGGTCCTCCTTCAGCTAGCATTTCTTGTAATTCTCATTTGCTTAATTGCTTACTGAACTTTCAGAAAACTTCCTTACAAGGCTGAAAGGGAAGAAAAGATCTGGCCTTAGTGATTGACTGAAGCAGTGCTCTCTAAAGTATAGACCCCTGACCAAGGCTTTTCTTGCCTGGTTCTAAGGATGATGCTGGACTGAAAGCGGAGGTGACCATGGACCAGTCTTTTACACGCCTCTGTGACTTCTCCCTATCCTGCTACCTCTGAATCCTCCCAGTCCACAACTCTGTTTAATTTGTAAATTTGTTTAATTTGGAAAACCAAATTGCTATCCCTTGGAATACCTATGTGTGAAAAGTAACCTCTGAATGAAAATTAACATTTTCCAAAAATTTTTCTTAAGATCTTAAGTAGCAATCACTAATTTTCCACCCCTAAAAGCCTGCCCAAACAAAAAAAAAACACCACCACCAAAACATAAAAAGGCAAACTATGTACAGACTTGTTGCACTCTTGAATACTAGCTTATATTGTATTTTCTCTGTACAGGTGTGAAAGTTGTGTGGATTTACTGTTTGTGAGAGGAGCTGGAAACTGTCCTGAGTGCGGCACTCCTCTTAGAAAGAGCAACTTTAGGGTGCAACTCTTCGAAGATCCTGCTGTTGACAAGGAGGTTGAGATTCGGAAAAAAGTGCTAAAGATGTAAGTATTACTGCTTGACTGATTCATTCCACAAAGGGGACTTAAATAATTATTTCAATAATTGATATGATATCATTACTTGGGGATTGTAAGGTGGGGAGTTTGGCAAATGAATAAGTAAATATAAATTCATCTATGTATTTGTTCAAGAAACATTAAGTTCTTCGAGAACTCAGGAATATTTTCTAAACTTTGTTAGAAAAGAGCAAATCCTCTTGATTGATGGCTTCACAGTTCATTTATTTGCTATTTTTTGCATTAATTTACTTAACAAAGGTATATTGAGTACTTCGTAGGCACTAGGTGTGAAGTGAGTGAAACCTTGTCCTCAGGCTTTTACAGTATGGTAGCATAGGGTAGCACAGAAGTAGACAATTTAAAACAGTCAAGCAAAACAAGTATGGGATTATAAATTGAGAAAAATGCTGTGAAGTTAGTGACTGAATGTTGGTGTGGGTCAGTGATGTCAGGTAAGGCCTGAGGAAGTAACGTTTAAGTTGGGATTTGAAGGCTATTAGAGAAAATCATTTGTTAGCTATTATTTATTTTGATATATATCTCTAGGTATGTGTGTACATATATTTTTAGTGTCTAATTTAGCCCTGGCTGGTGTGTCTCAGTGGATTGAGTGCCGGCCTGCAAACCGAAAGGTTGCAAGTTTGATTCCCAGTCAGGACACATGCCTGGGTTGCAGGTCAGGTGCCCAGTTGGGGGCGTTTGAAAGGCAACCTATCAGAGTATCTCTCACACATCAGTGTTGGTTTCCATCTCTTTCTCCCTCCCTCCCCCATCTCTAAAAATAAATAAAACTTAAAAAAATAATTTATAATTTATATTTTTACTCTTTGTTAATAGATTTGGGTTTCATTTCACTTGTCTTCTTGGTATAAGCCACCGTATTGTTTTTGAAGTTTAAAGAATTAATATATATTTATTATTGTTTTATTTATTTATTTATTTTGGTAGTTAGGTTTCAACCTTGGTCATCAGTGTTTTGGCAGCATCTTTCTAGCTTTTTAACTAGTGTTATTTTATCAACTTCTTAAGCTGCTCTTTTATTATTTAGATTACTTCTAGAAGGTAGTCTCTTAGATCCTTGTCTTTTATCATTAATGGCAATGGTTTTCTAATTTTTCACAGGTATATTAAAATATTTACAGATTTTCCTGATGTAGCATTACTTAGACTATAACTGTCATGAAAAATAAGAATGAGTTTTTGAATTAATTTTTCACTTTCTGGAAATTAATGAATCCAGAAGAAGTAAACAATATCATGATTTCCAGTGATAGACCTGGTTTAAACCCATTTTCCATTCCTTCAGGGTCCTAGTTTCTTTTTCTTTCCCATAAGTCTTTTTTTTTTTTCAAATACATTTGTCTCTGCCTTTCCCCCACCACCTTCCCCTTCCCATAAGTCTTAGAAGGATTTTGTAATGTACCACTCTCTTCTGATTCCAGCTCCTTTTCTGTAGTAATGTGAATTTAAGAACCAACATTCTTTTTTAAAAGAAGATCATATTTATTTATTTTTACAGAGAGGGGAAGGGAGGGAGAAAGAAAGGGAGAGAAACATTGATGTGTGAGAGAAACATCAATCAGTTGCCTCTTGTGTGCTCCTAACTGGGGACCTGGCCTGTAACTCAGACGTATGCCCTGACCAGGAATCGAAATAGCAACCTTTCAGTTTGTAGGACGATGCCCAACCCGCTGAGCCACAACCAGTCAGGGCAAGATCAACATTCTTGGTCTAGTTACAAACTGGGTGTCAAGAAAACAGTATTTTACATAATAAGTGATCCTTTTCTATGTATCAAATATGAATTAAGTAAGAATAAACAAACTAGGTGGATAATATTGAAAGCAAGTGATATGTGATACGTTAATTTTTTCTTCTCTCACAGTTACAATAAAAGAGAAGAAGACTTTCCTAGTCTAAGAGAATATAATGATTTCCTGGAAGAAGTTGAAGAAATTGGTAAGTTTTTAATGCTTATACTTTCAGTGTTCTAATGTGTGCTTTTATCTTTTAGATGCCTAGGAGGACACTTCACAACTTGAACAAATTTAGTTGTGATAGCTGATGTTTGCCTAATTACTTTCTGTTGCACTTAATCATGTTTGTTATATGGAAGGCATACTTAAGGAAAGAACATACTTAAGTAGTAAATATTTTGTCTTAGGAAAAATGTGAAGAATATCACTGTATAGCTGGGAAAGAAGGGTGTATCTGTATATATCATCTGTATGTTGTTGATGTATTAGAGTTAACAAAGGAAATAATATTCAGATTTTTAAAAAACAGGGTTTCTATTAACTGTATCCATGGTACTAAAGGCATATGTTGTCTATCATCATCATGCTTCGGTGCATATAGTAGTTCCAAAATACTTTGAAACAGTTTACTGTTGAAGCATCACTCTGTTATTTAGTGCCATCTAGAATCAGGTTAGAGTAATCTTAGTGCCTTTTATTTCTGCTATGATTTGTTAAAAGGATATTTTCATCCAAAGAAAGTATTGTTTCATTTTCTTATGTAAGATTTCAGAGTTGTTAAAAAGCCTGAGAGTTGTTATATATCAATTAAAAAAAAATCAATGTTGTTTTTAAAGTTGCCATAATTATTACTCAATACAGGCTTAGAAATGATACAAAAAAAATCATAGACTGTAAAAATTAGAATGAGACTAAGAGAAACAATCATTTTTTCCAAGCTATACTCCCATTCTTATTTAAAATATGATTTTAATAAAATTGATTATTCTTGGTCAGGTTTATATATGGTAAATTTTTAGAAAATTTAAAATCCTGAGGAATGGAGTATTCTAATTCCTTTAATTTTTTTTTTTTTTTTTTTTTACTAACTGAAAAATTAACAAAATCTTTGTTTCAACTGTTACTAAAACTTTTCTATGATACCCAGGTTTGCTTTATGTGTCATAGCATATTTGCTATGTAAAGAACATAATTTAGGCTTTTTCTGGGATCTCTTAGTGCTTTGGGCCCATTGCTTTTTCATTGTAATTGTTCATTGCACTTTGAATGTAATCTTAGGAGCTATGCTAAGAATGGCTATGGATTTTAGCTGAAAAGGTGGTGGAATTGGGACAACGAAGGCCAAGTAGAAAAGTTATATAGACGGAGACAAGAAACCAAAAAGAAATCTGCAAGCATGCAGATGTGTAGAAGTCTGGTTATACAAATAAATATTAAGTATAGGAAAAAAGTGTGGTCAGGCAATTAAGAGAAAGGAAATCATAGATGTCACAGAGCAAGTTGAATATATGGTCACAAATCCAACCAGGCAGTCATGATAGCTAAAAGAAATTGATGGATAAAAAAGGTGGGGAAGAAGGGCTCTTGATTCTGGAACAAGGTTCTTATTCAGTCGTGATTTAAAAATATATATTTTTGCTATGAGATGAATTAGTTGGAAGATATGAACAGCCTGTGGCCCATAGTTAAAATGAAGTTCATGTCCAGAAGTGAGAACTAGGATTGACAGGTGAGAGCAGATCTGCATAGTAGGGCTATACAACATGTAATCTTTTACCTGGAAAAGTAACTGGCTCAGAGCTTTTAATTTGAAAGTGATTTTATGAAGGACTATTTTCATTTGCAGTACGTTGATACTTTCTTAACCTCCATTCAGTTGACTCATTGGGGTAACTGACATTTCCCAGTTTTTCTGTAAAATATATTGACTATTGCCCAAAGCATAATGAATATAGGATGAATTCTGTCCATTAGAAGATGTCCTCAAGTACACTTCTGTACTTCTTTAACCAGTTCAGTTATACACCCAGAACTGCATGCATTGGAAACTAAACCTTATGCCAGTGGTACTTATTGTAATTGTGTAATTTAGTTAGGTAGTTTATAAGATTGGGAAAAATTGCAAAACTCCATGAGGATTCTGCTTCTCAAATTCTCGGTCCACTTTTAGAAAAACAAAGTTAACAATATAGATGACAGGTGTGATTTATATATGGCACTCCAATTAAAGACTAGATCTTGGCTTATGTAAGTAAATTGGAAAATGACTGTACACTTACTATATATGCTTTAAGTTAAAGTGCTCAGGAGTCTGTATGTTTCCTTTAAAATAATTATCTACTAATTCTGATTATACTGGGTAAAGAGCAATTCTATTGTATTTGAAGATATTGGTGAAGTTTGGGACCTAGTCTCATGGACTTACAGTTTATTTTCCAAACTTCAGCTCAGTCCAGCAAATACTAATGTTCTGTGTGAACTGCTTTACTTGCTGGGAACATAAGATTTTGCTTTCAATAAGTTCAGACTCTAAAGGGGAGATAATTATGTGAACTAATGACTATAATTTAATATGAAGTATAAGCATTTATTAAGTGTTATGGAATACAGATAACGAAACAGTTCAGCATATAGGAAGTACAGTTATAGCTTGGTGAAACTCAGAGAAGAGTTCACATTTGAGTTTGATCTTAAAAGATGAGTAGGACCAGGTGGAAGGAGGATGAAAGAACCTTGTAGCAAAAGACAAAGTCACAGAGATACACGGGTGTTGAGCATGTTGGAGAATAAGCATCTTTTATAGGTAGATAGAACTGAAGAGTGACTAGAAATGAGGCTTGAAAAACAGACTAGGCTGTCAGGGTAAGAATTTATTTTATGATCAAGTGAGACAGTGGGATAGTGTGTTAGAGAAGTGGAATAATGACAGGAGATACTCAAGGTTGGGAGACCATTTTTAAGAAACCATGAGGAGAATTTGGATGAGAAATAATGTGAGCTTGTAGTAAGTAGCAGGGGTGATACATAAAGGTGATGTTTTAGAGACTGAATATTCAAGGGACTATTTTGTTGTAGGAAAGAACAGCAGAGGGTAAATTAAAATATGTTGACCTTGAGCAGTTGCCTAGTATTCATGAGGAAAATAAAAGCTGGAGAACAGGCAGTGTTTTTTATTGTTTTGTTGGGTGGAAAGTATAGAAATGAGGGAAATACTAGTTTTAGCCTTTTTAAGTTTCTCTGGATGTGGTTCTACCACTTAGTTGTGTGTCATTGTTTTCATTGTTGTGGTATAAATAAACTTCCTTTAAAAATCTTGTTTCAATAGCTCTTTGTGTTTTATTCATGCTTTCAAAGATGATTAGTTAGATGTTTGTTATATCTGTATTGGCTATTTCCTTGTTAATCAAAAGCGTAAAATGTTGGTTAAAAAATTATTTTACTGAATTTATTGAGGTGACATTGGTTAATAAAATCATATAGGTTTCAGGTATACAATTCTATAATACCTCATCTGTATATTGTATTGTGTGTTCACATTCAAAGTCAAGTCTCTTTTTGTCACCATTTCTTTCCCCTTGACCCTCTTCTACCTCCCCCACCCGCCTTTCCCTCTGGTAATCACCATACTTAAAATGTTAATTTAGTAAGAGCCAGACTGAGCTGTACTCATATTTGAGATAATATCAAATTATTATATGATATTATCTCATATAATGATTTTTACAACTCAAAGGGAGACAGACATTTTTATCCCTATTTTACATATGGAGATGAGGCAGGGAGAGCTGAAGTGTTGTGCCCAACATCACACTGCTAGTAAATAACAGTACCAAATTTTGAACATAGGTTTTTCTGACTCAGAGCCCATGAAAGTGCTTGTTAGTGTTTGAGAGTACTTAATAGTCTGAGTCTAGAACATGGGGTGCTGATTGGTGGAAAAATGGGAGATAAGAGAAGAAAAAGTATATTGTGGCTGTATTTTGAAGGACCTTAAGTTTGAACTTGATCTTACAGGTAGAAGGATTCCCTTGAAGATGCTTAGGCCTGGAATTAAGGAATAGAGTTGTTATTGTTGCTTAGGAATCAGTGTTTGAAGATATATAAATTGAGGACTGGTCATTTTATATAAATTTCATTATATATCCTTTGAACATCACAAATGTAAAAATGTAAAAATTTTAGAATTTGCATAATGGTAAAGAAAGTAACATATAAGAGGCACACATGAAGATGATCTTTCTTATAGCATTAACAATAGGCTCTTTTCTGTGGTTATGACAATCTAAACATAAAAATTCTTGTTCTTTGGCCCCAGGGATTATCTCAAAGGTTTGTTCTTAGTTTCATAATAAACAGATTATTCTTTTGGTTCAGGGTATTGCTTATTTTAAAAGGGTGAGAAAGTCCTAAGGGCTTTAATGATAAATTCTGGATGTCAAAAAGACTTTAAAATTGTACTTAACATTAAATCTTTCAGAAAACACAATAGGTTTTTTGTTGGCTTTTAATACTCAACCAAAGACAGGTCAACATCTGAGATAAAGGGCCAACTGATTGTAAAGAAAATTATCTTCTATTTCTTTTTCTTCAAGGCTATTATATGACAGCCTGATTCATTGTGGCATGAATAAGACTTGCTTCATCTGAAAAGCTTTTAAAATAGTAATTCACTTTTGTTTGTTTTCTTCTTTTTAAAGGTAGAGATTTGTATTATTTATGATTATGATTCACATCTATTACTGCTGTTACCTTTGCTTTCTAAATTAAAAAATGAAATAAATAAAATATTTTGATTTTGTTGGAATTCTTCAGTTTTTAATAAGCATAAAAGAAATTATGTACAAACAGATTTCACTTAGAACTTAATTTACCTATTTCTGGGTTATATTTAAATATTTGATTTTTATTTATTTTTAGAGACGGGAGAAGGGAGGGAGAAAGAGAGGAAGAGAAACGTCAGTGTGCAAGAGAAACATTAGTAGGTTGCATCTTGCATATCCTGCAACCCAGGCATGTGCCCTGACCAGGAATTGAATTGGCAACCTTCGGATTTGCGGGATGACCCCCAACCCACTGATTCACGCCAGACAGAGCATTTCTAGGTTCCACTTAATGGAAAGTTTAAATCAGTAGTACCCGGTCTTAACTTGCTGATAAACTGATACTTTTTCTTAAATTGCTCTAAACATTATGTTGAGTTCAACATAGAATATCAATTTGATTACATTTACTTCTCAGTAGGGTCATACCATAAGAAAATAAGATTATTTCTATAATTTTACATCTGCTTATTTTGCCATCTGTATCATTCAATTCTATTATTATAAAGGTCATTTCAATTAAATCTATAATTATACAGAGAATTATAAATGTTAGCACTGGTTTATTTCTTTATATTTTCCTCTTGTGCTAATTCAACAAATATTTCTTAAGCTCTTAACAGATGGGAAAGCCCCCAACCCCTTTTTGATAGACTTTATTTTTTAGAGCAGTTTTAGATTCAAAGCACAATTAATCAGAAAGTATGGAGTTCCCATTATACCCCACACTGCACAGACTTAACCCTTTACTGTAAACATCCCCTACCAGAGTGGTAAATTTGTTGTAATAGATGAACTTACAGGGACATTGTCCTAAGTCCATAGTTCACATTAGGGTTTACTTTTGGTGCTGTCCATTTTATGAGTTTGGGAAAATGTGTAATATTGTATTCATTATTATATTGGGTTGGCCAAAAAGTTCATATGGTTTTTTTCATAAAATAAAAGACACATTTTTCATTTTCACCAATAACTTTATTGATTTGGATATTTTGAGTCTGTTGGCTATATCCAACGTGGTATACGTTGCTTGTTCTCAATTGGTGTCTCGATTTGATTGCTATCAAATTCAACTGGTCTACCCAAACTATGGAGCATCATCCAGAGAGAAATCTCCAGTGCGAAACTTCGCAAACCGCTTTTGACACGTTCGATCATACACTATACAAGTCTTTTTTTGTGTTTCAGTTGCATTTTTACCTTTCTTGAAATAATAAAGCATAATATGCTGAAAATGTTGCATATTTTCTTCCATCTTCAATATTTGACTACACAGAAATTCACTAATGTTGGTAAGTTTTTTTAAATGCATGCTGATATGACAGCTGTCACAATAAAATGTAATGAAATTGTTTCAGATGAAGTTCAAGACAACTAAGCACTTCTAGAGCTGTCTTACGGAAAAAACAAAATGAACTTTTTGGCCAGCCCAATGCTATTATATATGATAGTTTCACTGCCTGAAAAATTCTCTGTTTTCTTCCTATTGTTCCTCCTTTCCTCCTTCCACCCAGCTCCTGGCAACCGCTGATTGTTTTACTTTTTCCGTAGTTTTGCTTTGTCCAGAGTGTCATATAGTTGGAGTCTTATGGTATGTGGCTTTCTCAAGTTTGCTTCTTTTGCTTAGTAATATTTATTTATGTTTTCTTCATGTCTTTTCATGGTTTGATAGCTCATTTATTTCTAGTGCTGAATAGTATTCCCTTGTCTGTTGTACCACAGATTATTTTTAATTGGTAGCTGATGCCATTAAAAGGAAGGACAGTTTATTTCTTTAATAAATACTTTTCAATAATTAGTGCAGTGGTAAATGTTATTTAATGAGTGACACAAGGATACCTTTGCTTTTTGCTGTTATCACTTGATTGTATAGTGTTTTGTATTATTTAATTTTATGTGTGTAGGGGTGATCTCTCTAATAAGAATGTTCATCTTTGAAGGCAAGATGTTCTTTTGTATGCTCACAAGACCATAGTGTTGGGAATCTAATAGGTAATCATTCATTTTTTCCCCTTTCTTTTTTTCCCCTTATGTCTGGGTGATACAGAAATTGTAAAAAATATGATTTTTGAGTGCAAGATGAAGTACAAAGTAAAGAATGCTATGTATGTGTGTATGTATGTGTCTACATGTAAAGTAGAAAGACTTTTACATGAGTTCTAAATAATGTTTTCAACATTTATGAGAGAAGGAAGGAAACATTTCTCATTGGAAGAGTCGGAGAATGTCATGGAAAAGTATTTGGGCAGACAGGTATGTTTTCAGTAGTAAGAAAGGGGGATCAGACATTCTAGGCAGAATGGTGTGATCAAAGAAATTGGAACAGGAAGTGTGGGGACATTTGGAAAATGAAGAGCTGACTAGTTTCAAGGGAGGTCTTTTTTAAGGGGAGATGAAAGTAGTTATAGCCAGGTTGTTAGTTTAGATTATAGTCAGTAGTTGAATCCAGAAGGGTTCTGAATTTGAAAAGTGTTTTTTTTTTTTTCCTAGTAAAAGAGGAGATGACAGAGGGACTATAGTGATGGTAGAGGTGGAAGGTGGTATGAGTATGATTCAGAAATATTAGTCTGGCAGTATTGTGTATTGTGGATGCGGTTAGCATATAGGGTCAGATGTAAAGATACTGGACATAGGACGTTAAGTCAGAGATTATTATAAATTATTCAGGGAGAAGAAAATAGATCCTGGCTTGGTGTATTAGAAGGGTACCTTGAGAAAAGTACAGTTTTAAAGGGATTTTTGTGGTAGAAACTGCAGGATTCGGCAACTGGTGCTTGTAGAATGCAAAGGAGAATGGATTAGATGAATGAAGTGTTAAATCTTGGTGTTTTAGCCTGACAGTCCTATTGTTGACAGATAAAGAATTAAGTGGATAAAACAAGTGTGGTACATTTATACAATGGAATACTATTTGGCTGTGAAAAAAGAAAGTTTTATCTTTTGTGACGGTATGGATGGACCTGGAGAGCATTATGCTAAGGGAAATAAGCCAGTCAGAGAAGGACAAATAACACACAGAATTTCACTCATATGTGAAATCTAATGAACAAACTGAACTAACAAGCAAAATAGAGACAGACTCATAAATAGGGAGCAGGAGGACTGCTAAAGTGGGTGAGAAGGGTGTGGTAGGGGGATTGAGCAAAGAGAAAAAAGGACTCATGGGCATGGACAACAGTGTAATGACTGTTAGGGGGAGAAGGGGATAAGGGGACTAAATGGAAATGGAAAAAATACAATAAAAAAGATGGAAAAAAAAAGAATTAAGTGGTTGTAGATGTTCAGAATAGTGAAGATTGTGAAAGATTATTGGATTTGTTGGCTCAGTAGCTGGCCTGGTAAGTATAAGGAGTAAGCTGTGAGTGGTTGGAGGAGAGAGTGGAGTCAGACCACATGAACTAATGGATCAGAGTTGCCTATTTGAAAGGCCAGTGCTAGTCTTCTTCCCTGTTTTGCGTTGGGGCCAGAATGTAATTTATAGAGTATGTCCTACATTGCATCCTAGCCAGATTCCCTGGTTTACTGGCATTACTACTTTCTTTTCTACTTTGTAGTGAAAAAGCTGGAGAGGTAGCTAGAGGGCTATTGTGTTTCTCATTTTCTGTTTCTCCCAGAGTTTTTAAATTGCATATAATAGAATTGAGGATTGCTTTTCTTTTTCTACATAGCTAAATGAACCTGAATTTTTGATGTTCTGAAGTAAGTTGGCCTTTTGAGGAGATAAAAAATGGATGAGATTGGTCTTTTGAGTATGTTCAATAGCCTTACTCAACAAAATGGGTAACCCCATTTTGGGCTTCCAATATTACTTTTCAGATCTTATAAGACTCTAATCAAAAAGTCTAGAAGCTATTTTAGATGGCTGTTAGCTAAAAGAAGGAGTAGGATGCGGAAGGAATTTGTAGGAACACGAAGTAGAGCAGTTATTTAGAGCAGATCAAACCTTTTTATAGGATAAACAACAGGAAACAGTGGTAAGTAATTGGAAAAGGGGTAGAAGGGCTAGTAATGGATGGAGAAAGCTTACAGAGAAAGCCAAAGGAGGTCTGAATTGAATTATGGAAGAGGATAATCTTAATGATTTGGGTCCTTCTTTAGACACGCTGATGCTAAAACACTGTTAAGTAGTGGGGTAGTGGAGCAGTACTTTATAATGTGAATTTATGTTTACCAAAGAGGTTTTTTTCCTGTTCAGAGTGCTACAGCAGCTTTTTGAGAGAGAGAGAGAGAGAGAGAGAGAGAGAGAGAGAGACAGAGAGAGAGAGATAAATTTAGGTGGGAGCAAAGGCATTTATAATTCAAATTATTTTGAGTTGGAATTATTAAAACGCAGGTCTAATTCACTGAAAATTTGTAACTGTCGTAACTTGCCTCAGCAGCTTGTCTTACAAAATTATTTTGGTCCTAAGTTTGGTGCTAGTTTATCCTTTACCTTTCCTGTTAAATTTTAGCTCTTGTCTCTCATATTTTTCCAGATCTAGACTGGGAAATAATTCAAGCTTGTGACTAGTCATATTGGAGACCATTAGAGAATCAAAGAAACCTATTTTTTAAAAATATAAATTATATATGATATATTTTTTTCTTTGGGTTTTTTTGTTGTTGTTGTTTCTGGAGCACAGATTCTTTTGAATATTGATTCTGACCAATATAGTAGATTCCAGACTTATTCTTTTTATTTAAATTTTAATCTTTCTTTTGTGTGCTTTTAAGATTAGAGTGAGGACTATAAATATCAGATTTAATGTGATTATAGCACACACATACTTTGTGATAGTCTGACATTTCCCTTATATTTGGCTCAGAAAACATAATTGTTGGACTAGAGCTAGTCTCTAGAATAGGTAGTAGGAAAGAGGACACAAACAGAACTGTAAGGAATGACAACCTGATGAATTAAGAAGTCATTGAGATGAATATTTGGTTTTTACCCACTTAAGATTTTATTAAAATTATATTTCATGTCACTGTTTCCTTCTTGATGTAGTTTTCAACTTGACCAACAATGTGGATTTGGACAACACCAAAAAGAAAATGGAGATATATCAAAAGGAAAACAAAGATGTCATTCAGAAAAATAAATTAAAGCTGGTTAGTTGCTAAGTATTTTCTTTTGTTTTAGAAATGAATGCTTCTACATGACTTTTTACCTGTGTTATTAAAATATTTCTCTAACTAGTCTTTCTGTCTTCAGTCTTGAACCCTGTTGATCTGTATCTGCTTCTTGTCATCCTTCTAAACTCAGTTCAAATTTCTTTAATTCTTGCCAGTTGCCTTAGTATGGCACGAATTCCCTTAGTATATATGGTATGATAGACGTTCCGTGTTCTGTCTGCTTGCCTGTCCTGCTTTACTGAGAGTTTTTCCCTACCCCCACACTTCATGACTTGGCCACACCAAGCACTCCATGTTGATTCATGTCTTTGCATCTTTGTTTTTTGTGTATAAATGGCCGTTCCACTTTCCAATGGGGGTTAATACCTGCTGCTTAAGTCTTAGCTCCTCCTACATATATTAGTTTCCTAGGGCTGCTCTAACAAATTATTACAAACTGGGTGGTTTATAGCAACAAGAATTTATTCTTTCATAGCTCTGGAGGCTGTAAGTTTGGAATCAAGGTGTCATCAGGGCTATGTTCTCTCTGAAACTCCCAGGGAATCTTCCTTTTTGTTTGTTTGTTTTTTGCCTCTTTTAGCTTCTGGCGGTTGCCAGCAACCTTTGGCACTTCTCTGATCTCTGCCTATCTTCACATGGCCTTCTCCCCTGTGTGTCTGTCCAAATTTCCAATGGACCTTAATTTGTTTTACACATGTCAAGATGCTATTTCCAAATAAGATTGCATTTGCAGGTAGCAGGGGTTAAGACTTCAGTGTAAGAAAACCCTAGTACACTGTTGGTGGGAATGGAGACTGCTGCAACCTTGATTTCCAGCTGTGGAAAACAGTGTGGATGTTCCTCAAAAAATTACAAAAGAAATTGCCTTATGACCCAGTGATTCCCAGCAAATCTGGGAATATATCCAAAGAAACTCAAAACACTGATTTGAAAGAATACTCATATATGCATCCATATGTTTGCTGCAGCATTATTTCCAATCGCCAAAGTATGAAAGCAGCCCAGGTGCCTATCAATATATGAGTGGATAAAAAAGCTGTGAGTACATACACACAGTGAAATACTACTTGGCCATAAAAAAGAATGAAATCTTACCTCTTGTGACGACGGCATGGATGGACCTAGAGGGTATTATGCTAAGTGAAATGAGTCAGATAGAGAAAGACAGGTATCATATGGTTTCACTTATAAGTGGAATTTATAGAACAAAATAACAAATAAATGAAAAATGATGATTTCAGTGGTAGGAATTGTCGGGGATTTTTCAGCTTTATGCTTGGGAAAAAATTGTAATGATGATCTTTAAAGCTGTTGAAATTTGATGTAAGGGAGCTCTTATATATGGATTCTTCGCAATTTTCCTACGCCTCTGTGAACTCTCCGACCCGTGCAGGGAGGTGAACCTGGGATGCTTCTGGAATTTCTAATAAACTACTGGACTCATTCTTGTCCTAATCACTCACAGCATCATTTCTAATCTACTCCTGGAGGTGCTTTCACACAGTCTATTCCTCTGCCTTATGTCAAAAGCCCACAGGACTCTAAAAGGCCATCTGAAAAGCAAGGGAGGAAGATGTACAAATGGCCCAAAAGAGAGGTCACATGCCTTTGAGGAGAAGTCCCACAAGCCGAAAACTGCAGCTAGTCTTTTGAAACCCTTGTCCAGGCAAGACTTGGGGACTAAGAGTGGGATATTTGAAGAGATTGTTTGATTTCCTACTGTGAGGCACTCTGAAAAAAATAAAAACATGCTGAAAAAAAAAAAAGAAGAAGACTTTCATCATATATTTTGGGGGGACACACCCAACCCACAACACTCTGTATGAAGTCTTTTCTGACCCTACTTATTTTCCATCATCTCAAAAGAGAATTTACCTCTCTGTCAGTTCTGTTCCCACTGTAGCCTGTGTATTTCTCTAATACTTGTCATACTTAATTGCTTATCTATCACTGCTTTATTATGAAACTCAACTTTTTCTGTTTATGGGCCTCCAAACCAAGTAGTTCACTTTTCCAGCTCCTACACCTCAGCTCTTAACTCTTAACTTTTTACGTTTATTCCTATTAATCCTTCTAGATTAAATTTGAATTCTCTTCTCTGTTGAGAGCCTGAGTACTAGAGGAGAAAAAGTTTGTAGAATTATAGAACTTAGAACTTAGTGACTCATTTAATTTAAGGGGAATGGTGGGGTGGCGAGAGGGATTAAGTAAAGATAACTTTGAGGTTTCAGCTTGAGTTGACTGACAGATAGGTTTGCATTTAGCAGAAAAAGGCATATGGGAGGGTCATCAGCTTTGGGAGACCAGATGCTAAACTTCATTTTGGATATACTAAATTTGAATTATAAGTGAAACATCTTTTTTCCATGAGAACTTTGTTTTTTTTTGGGGGGGGTAGTTTATCTACTGTATGAAATTTAAAAATCCAACTAAGTGTTTTTATTATTATTTTACATTAAAAATACTCTTTTGTCTGAGGTCTCTGTTAATTTCTATATTATGTTAGTGATCACCAAATCCATTATGCTCTCTCCCCCTATTCTATATCTGCCTTCGGGTGCTATGAAATCACAATGTTCTGTTGAATTAAAACAGAAACATTACAACATTTTCAAGAGCAAGAGGCAAGGTTTTAAAATAAAGCCATTCAGATTTTACTGTATTTTTTTATTCGTAAGACTTTTAAGAGCAAAGACTTGGTATAATACTATGTTTAAATATGAGTTAGAGTTGGAATAAATTTTGGAGCCCAGAAGAGTTTAATATTTCTGAAGAACTGCATAAAAGAGGAATGAGTAGACCTGTAGTTAATTCTGTGTACATATTAACTTTGAATTTTGCAGTCCAGAAAGAGGACTCTTGAAATTTACATGCCCATGTTAGAAAAGTTAACTTCTAACATAATATTGGCAAAGGAAATTGTCAATATCCATTTAAAAAAATTATTTTAATGAATGCTTTTTGGAACTCTAGCATCATACAGACTTATTTTAGCTTGCAAAAAAGAAACTAAATGGCTGTGATAAGTTTTCATTATTTTATATGTTTGGGAAATTATTGCTGTTAAATAAGCCAGTCTTTTAAATGGAGCATTTCAGTCAGTAGTTCTGTGTGGAGATTGTCTGTTCATGTTGTCATGTTTTTTATTTTGTTTTGTTTTCCTTGTTAAATCCCCTAAAATGAATGACTTGAAACTGTCTGTAATCATTATAAATAAATTAACCCATTATTAAGCACAGATCCTGCAGTTCTGCAACTGGGCTTTATGTACTTTGTTTAGGTGTTTGTTTGTTTAGTGCTAGATGTCAATCTCTTTAATAGTAATATGTTTGCATGAAATAGAATGAATTTTAGTTCCTTCAAAATGGAGTTGCTACATTATTAAACAATAAGGGACTAGTGTGTTTTATGCTTCCAAAAATGTGCTATAAGATTGATGTTGGTTACTAAATTTATTTCATACCATATATAAATGTTCTGTTTTAGACTCGGGAACAGGAGGAATTGGAAGAAGCTTTAGAGGTAGAACGACAGGAAAATGAACAGAGAAGACTGTTTGTACAAAAAGAAGAACAACTGCAGCAGTTTCTAAAAAGGAAGAATAAGCAGGCTTTTTTAGATGAACTGGTTCGTATTAATGCCAAGTGTGATAAAAAAGTGATTAGTCTTCAGGGTTTGTGTTTCTTATTTATGTGACATTTAAGTGACATTTCTATAGTTTGTCCTGGCGTATCCAACTTCTATTCCTTAATTTAAAAAAATTGTCAATATACATTTTATTTTTGGAAGTGAGAGTAGTATAACTGACATAATCCAGTGTACTGTTAGTAGATTGTTTACAAGTTTCTAAGTTTACTGACTAAAACACATTGTTTTCAGAGCCAATGTTTCCTAATTAATACTGGTTTTCTGATAACTGGTTCATTTTCAGTAGTGACTCTGGTTATTCTGTGAGAACTATATTTCATATTTTAGCATGAAAAGTAATTAAATGAAATGGTAGTGTTTTGCCTCATTGGAGTTTTCCAGAAATTAGCTCCTCAAGTAGTTGACATTGTTAGATAACAGCAATAATAGTAACTAAGGTTTATGTAGTGTTTCATAGATTTCATATATTATTTGATACTTACAACTCAATGTGATACTGATTAACTCACAACTAGAAAATCATCCTCTCCAGGAAGGTTTTTTGTATTACCTTTCTTGTTTTGTCCAAATAATTGCTTTCCAAGAGGTGTTAAAACACTTAACTGTTTGGTTTAGTTCATACATTGTTTGTTATTTTTTGATTGGGTAAATGTATATCTGCATATTTTTCTACTTTACTTTTGCTCCAATAGCATTTAAGCCAGCTAACCAAGAATAAAAAGAGAAAGCAAGATTATTGAAATTAGAGATAGGTGAGAAAGTAAAGGAAAAGTATGGGTCAGGACCTTAATGAGGCTCAGACAAAAAATGCTTATTATCATAAACCATGTGTACTTTGTCTGAGAGGAATGTAAATTGGTTCTAAAACAGTGGCATATAAAATAGAATATGGTGTTTTCCTTAGCAACTTCCATTAATTTTTCTTAAAACTATTAAGTGGCAGGTAAGGCTTTAACACGTGAAATGACACATGTTGTGTTTTACAGTTTTTGTGGACATAAACCTTTAATAAATCAGTTAGTAAATATTGATGTTTAAGTATTTATTTTGTTCTTTCCTTCATAATTTTATACAAAGAGGAACATACTTGTCTTTGGTAGTACTTCTCCTCTATACTGTCAGTTGAATTAATTATAAATACAGAACTTAGACATAAGATGAAAATACACTTTAACTTTTTAAAAATGTTTCATCTAATATAGTTTTTAGATTTTTATCTTGAGGTTAGGTAGCTTTGCATAGCAACTATACTTGCATATTCTTTTAGTCCTCAAAGTACTATGTTTTGCTGCCTCATTGAGTTGCTATTGGCATGAAGCTCCCTTTTAATTCAGTGGGGCACGAAGCAAGATGTGAAACTGCCACTGTTGTACATTGTGTATAATCTGGAGTTAATATTGGTTTTTGTGAGGACCACCCCCCCACTTCCTGTTTTCTTCACCTGCAAGTCATTACTGCACATACTTTCTTCACTGTTTAGATCATGTAACATGGTAGTTAAATAATTCTTAGCAATTTACTGTATTCATTAGGACAATTAATTACAACATATTGGTTTAGAATACCAATGAAGTTTGAATTTCTGGTTTCTATTTAAAAATTTATTTTAAAGATTTTTACTTTAATTTTTGAATATTTAATTTCTTTTGTTAAAATGTTAACATACATTTAGTTTTTATGACTAATTGAAAGAATTCACTAAGTGCTTTTTATCTTCCTGAATCCTTATTAAGTAAAAGAATACATTATATTTCCTTTTCTATGTATGTTAATACATTACACTTTACTAAAAAAAGATAGCATTGGCATTGGTAAATATGCCTAGAAGCTCAAATCTTAGAATTATTCTCTGAATCTAATTTAGGCAACAAGTACTACTTATTAGAATATTTTTCCTCCTTTTTAAAAATTTGGTCCTTGTGTTAAAAGTGACTTTTTAACTTTTTGTAAAACATTGGCATTATATTATACTGTAGATGACAATTTTAATGGTATGGTCTTAATGTTTATGACTTAGTATTTACCATAATGTTGCCTAAAAAGTCCATTCATTTAATCCTAACTGTAAATTCAGGTTTTTGTTGTTGTTTTTTTTAAAAAAAAACCACTTTGGATAAAGATTTTAAACAGGTCCTGACTTAGTAAATCTTTTTATATTCCTGTTTGAAAATTCTCTTCAGTTTATGTCTGAAATTTTGTATGGGCTAATATTGCTGTCAAATGCAGTAGCTGATTTTTATTAGAAATATTGTTTGCCAGATGGCTTGCTTAAAGTCAGTTAAAATAATCTTTTAAAAATGGTCATTATAAAGCTTTTAATGAGTATTACAGGCAGTCTTATTAAAATTTCTTTAAGTATCAAACAAGGTACCTTCAGGCAATTAATGTAGGTTAGGGAACCTTTCAAGGTAAAATGGAAAGCTAAGAAGAATGAAATAATTTGAAAGGCTGAATCTGCATTTTATATATTCCCAGGAGGATGTGTGTTTCCCATAATTTATTTTACTCTATAGATTTTTTTGTTGTTTTTGTTATAGCTCCTGCTTAATTCTAGTTTAGCATTCCCAAAGATTTTCAGCCTCCAAAGTTTTTAGTGCTAAAGTGGAATAAAGTAGATTCGAGGTAATTGTATGCTATAGTATCAAAATTGGTTTTAGATTCCTAGAATGTTTATTTTTATTAAATTTCAGCTGCTTTACCAAGACATTTTAATAGGTAGGGCCTTTTATGTGAAAGTGAAACCAGGCCAAAATATTGATTAGCAGGTTTTTGAAGTGAACACATTGTCTTGCTTTTACACAAGAACTTTTACTTTTTAAGAGTAAATACCAGGTATGTAAGAGCATTTGAATTTACTTAGAATATAAATTGGGAAGCAATGTTTTAGCTTTTTAGCCAAGAAAATTAGTTTTCCTTCTGTTATTTTTTTACATATGAAAAGATAGTAATAGCTTCTAAGAGATATTTTGGGCCATACCCTATTTAAAATGTCCCATAATTTTACATTTTATTATAAAATTCTTAATGGAAATCTAGAATAGCTGCAGGGATTCACAGCAGTGCTGTTACTAATGCATTACTAATACTTTGTTTTATTATAGAATATGAAAGATAAAGTGTATTCTCATAGTATGTTTCATTCATTCCCCATTATTGCTAAAGCCAGGTTGCAAGGAGATTACTCCTTAACAAGGTTCTATTTTATAAATAAACTGAGTTCTTCCATTTATTTTTAAAAGTTTTTATCTTTGTAACACATTGCTCTTGCAGAGCACTTCTATTACAGTCTGGAGGTACAGATTTATTCTAGGACCATTCTGTTGAAATAAATTGGCTTGTTATTTGAATTACTTCTGTACTAGAACCCTAAAACAATTCCTTTAACTCTATCAATTAGCCACATATGTGCCTAAAAATATTATTAAGTTGTTAGATTTGGAAACAAAATTAGATTCTGCTCTGTTTACCTCTATACTGTGAAATGTTAGCAATATAGTCTTTCTTTTTTTAATACTAAATTATGGGTAGCTACTGTTTTAAAAATTTGTAGGCCATTTGAAGACTATGTTTATTTTTATAAGTAACCTTGATATAGGGGATCAAAATGCATTGTGCCCTTTATTTTTGTTTTCAGATATAGAAAGTAGTGTGTGTGTATGGATATGTATGTGTATGATTTTAGGCTTCTGAGCTCCCTCTACATATGCTTCTGTGTTCTTATTCAGCTGACAACTCAGAAAGGAAAAAGTCAGGATATCATTTAGTTTTGACTTAGCCTATAGCACTTTAAACATGTAATAGGACTTCATGTTAAACAGAATAAATAACAGCCTGCATATAAGAATTAGTCATCTGCTTGTGTTGTTAATATGTGTGTGTACAGATTTATGTGAGTAGTGGCCCTGATTTAGTATCAACATAGATATTAAAAACATTGACTATCATTTTGTTAAAAAATATTTAGACTTCATTTCTAAAAATAAGTCAATAAAAGAGAAAATAAATATACTTTTGGTTGTACTTAACAATCGTTCCATTGTGCAAAACAGAGCAAGGATCATTTCCAAACAGCCTCAGGTGAAATCTAATGGGAAACAATTTTAAACTGGTCTGAATTCACTGGTAAAAAGAATGTTTCTTAGATAAACATCTGATCTAAGTTATAGTACTTTGTACTACTCTTTTTGTGATTAGCTTCTAATTTTTTTTATTTTAATAAATATGGTTGGCATTGCTAGATGAAATAAGACCCTATTATATTTTCTTTAATGTGGATTTTATAAAAATAATTTTTTGCAGGTTTTGATTTATGAGTATAAAACAGCCTTTTCTTATTATGGAATGTTAAAATTTTTTGTAAAGTGTTCTCCATAAAGTGAATGTTTAGGTTGACATCAAATGCTTATGGAAAGGCATAATTTAAAATAATGGACCTGTTGCTCTTTAAGTTTTTTCTTTTTAACTTGTATGTTGCATGTTAACTTTTCCTACAGGAGAGTTCTGATCTCCCTGTTGCTCTGCTTTTGGCTCAGCACAAAGATAGGTCTACCCAATTGGAAATGCAGCTTGAGAAACCTAAACCTATGAAACCAGTGACATTTTCCACAGGCATCAAAATGGTAAGCCACATTTTAATTGATTTTTTGAAAGATGTATTTCCAGGATTATGCTTAATATTTTATATAGATTTCTACTGATAAGCTGAAAGTTTTAGATGTTTAAGAACAGTGTCTGATCTAGGCTAGATGTCTAGAGATAAGAATATGCACAGTGTGTGAGAAAGGGAAAAGTAATAAATAATTTTCCAAGTATGCAACACAATTTTGTTCTGTATAATAATGGTTTGTATGTGTTTTCTTAGTCTATATAAAATTTTAAGCTTATAGTGAAGGGAAACATTTCTTAAAATTCAGACTTCTGGTTTCTGGTACGTCATGTAAAAAGCTTGGAAGTTGCCACTACATCCTCAAGAAAAGCTTGGAAATTGCCGCTCCATCCTCACACTGAGAAAACAACTGTCCTTAGATCCATAAATGGAGAGGTCACAAGGCTAATTACTGCCCTAAAAATTGGAGAGACTCGCAGAGAACACAGAGAATCACAGCTTCTCAGCATCCTTTCAGGGAACGAGTGATGGTACAGGGAAATCTGAACTGTCATTGACAAAAATTGTGGAGGCTCAGTGTGGATAACTCTGAGAGTTAAAAACTCCAGAGGGTACCTGGCTTTGGAGGGCCCCACACTTTCATTTTACCTCTTGCCTCTCTACCAGGTTCTTTCAGTGAATATTGAGAAAAATTCCCTTGTGCTTCTGGCAGATAAAGGGGGAAAAGGAGCTGTTTTGAAATAAGAGTATTTGGTTTTACTTAACAAGGCGTGCCCTCAAGAAACTTTCATCAGAGCTTAACCTGCTGGAATTTTCTCAGAACCTAACTGATGGGGAAGGGAAATGCCCAACTCTAGCTACTCAAGCCTTCCACGTGGGGAAAAGAAATACACAGCTTTAGATCATCTTTGTCATTCTGCCCTACCTAAGAGGAGAAAGATGGACTGAGAGGCATGTGTGAAGTTCACAGTCCAGAAGTGTAGGTCCTCTAAAAGACTGAGACCTAATCATGTGACTATAAAATGCTCTCCTCTCTTCCCTTACCACCACAGTACTAATGGCTTATTTACAGCAGTTCCTTTTACCCAGTGCATCATGCTTGGCTATCAAGGAAAAAAAAATGAGACATACTAAAAGACAGAAAACATGGTTGGAAAGACATAGAGAAAACATCAGAACCAGGCTCTGATATGGCAGGGATGTTGGAATTTTCAGACCAGGAGTTTAAAACAACTGCGATCAATATGGATAAAGCAGACAACATGCAGGAGCAGATGGACAATATTAAGCAGAGAGATGGAAATTCTTAGAACTGAAAAGAAATGCTAGAGAAAAAAAAAACACTTTAACAAAAATCAAGAATGTCTTTGATGGGCTTCTTAGTAGACTAGACACACCTGAGGATCTTTGAACAAGAAGATAAATCAGTAGATTCCTTGCAAACTTAAAACCAAAGAGAAAAAGACTGGGAAAAAAAAAAGGAACAACATCCAAGGACTTTGAGACAACTACAAAAGGTATATTATGTATAATAGGAACACCAGAAAAAGAAGGGAAAAAGGAACAGAAGAAATATTTGAAACAATAACGACTGAGAACTTCCCTAAATTAATGTCAGACACTACACCAAAGATCCAGGAAGCTCAGAGAACATGAAGTAGGATAAATGCAACACCCCCTGGCCTCGCCCCTGTATCTATGCATATCATTTTTAAGTTACAGAAAATTGAAGATAGGGAAAAAGTCCTGAAGGAGGCAGAGGAAAACAAACACCTTGCCCAAAGAGGAGCAAAGGTGAAAATTATACCTGACTTCTTGGAAGCCACATGAGCAAGAGGAGAGTGGAGTGGAATATTTAAGGTGTTTAGACAAAAAAGCCACTAACCTAGAATAATTTACCCTGAAAAATTACCCTTTAAAAATGAAGGAGAGAGAATGATTATCAGACAAACAAAATTCAAGATTTTTTTGCCAGTAGACCTTCCTTGCAAGAAGTGTTAAAAAAAGTTCTTTCGAGACAAGGAAAATATAGGTAAAAAACAGATATATGTAAAGGAAGAGCATCAGAGAAGAAATAAGTAAAAGTAAAAATAAAAACTTATGTTTTTGTTCTTAATTGACCTAATAGGTAAGTTTGTTTAAAATAGTAAGCAATACTGTACTTGATTATTTTTACTTCTGTGTGTGTATCTGTAAATATATATATGCTTATGTGGTGTATGTGTGTATGTGCGTATACATGCTTATAGGCACACACATGCTTATCCATAAGTGAAATGAATGACCAAATAATACAAGGGACAGGAGGAAGCAATCAGAATTATTTGATTTATGGATATGTGGGTTCCTGAATAGTATAAATATTCATGATCAGTTTTAAACTTACAAATGTAGTTAGTATTAACACATCTTCAAATGTAGGGAAAAAGACTACTAATTAAGAAATTACCAAAGCTTTTAATTAAGAGACAATAAGTATAGAAGGAATAAAATGGGCATGGGAAGACTCAGGTACAATTGGATAAAACTTCAGCTTCACCATTTATTAGATGCATATCCATGGGTAAGGTTTTACTTTATTCTTTCTGAGTATGTTTTCTCATATTGGTAAAGTTAAGATATTTTTAACTGTATGTGATTATTTGGAGGATTAAAGTGTGTGTGTGTGTGTGTGTGTGTGTGTGTGTGTGTAAAATTCTGGGATTTAGGATTCTTGAACTTGAGGAAATTTTATAATAAATTTAGCATTTTGATACTTCTATAAATATATAACATTGCTGTGACCATGGTGTTTGGTTTTGTTTTAAAGTTTTTAAAATTTGTTTTTAAATTCACATGTGGTAAAGGGTCATAACAAATGCAGTCTTGTGATGTACAGGGTCTTGACAAATGCAGAGTTCCATATCTACTGCTATAATCACAACACAGAGCAGTTCCATCTCCTCAAAATTCCCTTGTGCTAGCCTTTCTTGGTTAACCCTGCACATGCCCCCTCCCCCGCCAGCAGTCAGTGATCTGTTCTTTCAGGTCTAGCTTTGTTAGTTTAACAACACACATTTGAAATCATATTGTTGCATGTATTTATAGTTGTTCTTTTCTGTTGAGTAATATACCGCATGTATGGATGTACCAGTTTTTTATCCATCCATCAGTTGAAGGACATTTGGGTGGTTTCCTTTTTTTATGATTATGAATAAAGCTTCTGTAAACATTGCATACAATTGTGTGTGTACATAAGTTTTCATTTCTCTTGGGTAAATACTAAGAATGAGATTGGCAATTTATATGGTAAGGGTATGTTTAGCTTTGTAAGAAACAGTTTTGGAAACTGTTTTCCAAAGTGGCTATACCAGTTTGCATTCCCACCAGCATTGTATGAGTGTTCCAGTTGCTCTGCATCCTTGACAGCCCTCAGTATTACGAGTTTTAAAAATATTTTAGCCATTCTAACAAGTGTGTAGTGGCATCTCATTGTTTTAATATGCATTTCCCTGGTGACTAATAATGTTGAAAATCTTTTCATGAGCTTATTTGCCATCAGTATTTCATTTGTCCTAACATTTAACTTAATACATCAGATATCTTACTAAAAAGTGTTGGAACCTTATTATTTTCTTCTTTCCTCCCTCTTTTTTTGTTTTGTGAATTGTACTGTATATATACAAACGTGCACAGAACCAAATCATACAGCTCAGTGAATTAGCACAAAGTGAACATCTGTGTAACCATTAGTCAGGTAAAAGAAAAAAGTATTGTCAGTGCTCTAGAAAACGTCCTCATGACTTCTCTTTTTGGTCTGCACTGGGTTCTTTTTCCCCAAATTAGTCACCTTTTTTTTTTTTTTTTTTTTAATGGCAGTTTTCTTCTGGTTCTTATAAATAGCTTTAACATCTAAGCATACATGCCTTAACCTGATTAATGTTTGCTTGTCCATATTGTATTTGTGAGATTCATCCAGGTTTTTGCATATAGCTATAATTATGTTTTCTCATTTTCATTGCTGGTTAATATTCCACTGGAGGAATATATGATTGACCCTTGAACAGCAGGGGTTTGAACTGCACAAGTCCACTTATACGTGGATTTTTTTTTTTTGATGAAAGCCTGTAGTGTTTTTAATCCACGGCTGGGATTCTGTGGATGCAGAGGACCGACTGTATACATGGATCTATGCCACTGTATTTAGGGGACTGAGCATCTGTGGGTTTTGTTATCGGCAGAGTGAGTGTCCTGGAACCAGTCCCCCATGGACACCAAGGGATAGCTTAAGTTTGGGTGCCTGTGTTGTAAGGGTCAGCTGCACTGCTGTTTATTCCACTATTGATGGACTTTGGGATTTTTTTGAGTTTTGGTACTATAAATTATCCTGACATTTTTATGTGTGTTTCTTTGTGCATTTGTACATACATTTTTTTGGTAGATATTTCTTTACCTAAGAACAGAGTTAATAGATCATAGAGAATATGTGTGCTTACTTTAGGAGATACTACCAAATTGTTTTCCAGAGTGGTTTTTACCAATTGTACTTTTGCCAGCAGTGTTCTTGTTATTCCCTGTTCTTGCCAAGACTTGTGATTTTTCTGTCTCTTCCAGTTTAACCAATTTGATGTGTATATTATAGAGTTTTGTGATTTTAATCTGCATTTTATTTCACTGATCGCTAATGAGGTTGAGTGTGGGCTATCCTATTTTTGTGAAATACCTTTTCAGCACTCTTGCTCTTATGTGAAAGTTCTTTGTATCTTCTGGATTTAAGCCTTCTATTAGTCATATGTGTTGTAAATAATTTTTATCACATCATGGCTTCTTTTTTCTACTTTTTAAAGGATGTCTTTATTGTCTTACTTTTCTGTTATCTGTCTGGAATTCTTCCCTCCCTTCCTCCCTCCCTCTTTCCTTCCTTATTGTGTGAGGTGGATGGTCCAATTACGTTAATGCATGTTGAGATTCATGTAACTTAGTGTCTTATGGAATACTTGTTATCATTTATTATTATGACAAAATTCATCATTA